AACCACTGATAAACTTCGACTCTGTAGTCATCTTTAAGAAGTCAAAAGTCTTCCAAACAACTTTACTGTGAACTGGTCCAGGTTAAATAACAGCATACAGGAATGCTTAACAAGGGTGGTGGTCCGGCACACGTTTCCTACAAGGATTATACAACACACTTAAGAAAAAAGTCAATGGTAAAACTGAAAAGCATGATTCTAATCAAAAGTTTATATTAAATACAAACACAGCTAGAATCCTAATTTTAAGACCATTATAACCCTATTTTCCACCTACCCGTTTCTACCTCCTAACATCCCTCAATTACCATTTTATTAAGAGGACATTACAAAAATCTGAAATATGAACATCTGTATTAATTTAGCAAGTTCTCAACTTCTTGTCCAAACAACTTACTTAACAAATGTTATTTTTGAGAAAATAACATGTATTTTTCAGGAAATGGTTAATTTATGTTTTCAACTAATATGTATTAAGGAATTTTACTAAATTAGTCAAAGATAGTTACTCTTAACCAGAAGTTGTAAAAAGGCTTTGGGGCCTCTAAATGAAAGAAAATCTCTGTATCATCACTCTAACTGAAGAAAACCAATGTCAATAGGTAAGGTGCTGATGGGGTCCAGTAACTTGCCAATAGTACCTCTTGCATCTTAGATGTTAAACTTTTATTCTCTGGTAACCACATTATGAATGGCTCAGGAAGGTGGCATGGTGTGGGTACTACTAGTGCAATTCTTTTACTTAATGCCTTGTCAAGGAGCAAGGGCTTGAGAATCTGCTTCTAGAGGTAAGCACAATAGTTAAAAGAAGCAGAAAAGATTAAAAACAGACGCAAGGAGTACAGCATACTGGAATCATATGAAGAGATAAACCCTTCCAACCATGGTGGCTAGTGGGTATCTGATTAAAGGATGCTAAAACATGTCACTACAGAAAAAGTTATCAAGCAGCTGTCAAAGGGTTCCCTGGGTGTTACTAACTAGCATGAAAAAAGTCCACAGCCCCGTACATCAGAATTTCTGATATATTTAATAAATGCTTACACCTCTAAAATAGTGTTACCAGGTCAAATTAGGTATTAAGAGTGTATGTTTCAAAGGTGGTTGAGGGAGCTGGATTATTGTGAAAATTTCTGAGAGTGAATGTGGTTATGTGACCTTGATCCCAAGTCAGAAATGTTTAATTATAGAATTCAGTTTCCTTTTGCTATCATTCTGCTTAAAGACAATAGAAAACATAACTGCATTTAATCTTTGGTGGCACTACTTCCAAAAACCCTTTCTGTCAACTTCTCCTTCCCTCACTAATTTTCCATTTCAAAACATGGAAAACCAGTGAGGAAGTTACCTCTTCATTACCCTGTCCTGCTAATACCAGAAGCAGAAAATCTCTAGATTTTTCAGGCCGCTCTTCTTTCTACCACACATCACAGTGGATTTAAATAGAATTTCATCTGTTCTCTCTACAACCAAATCACTATTTTCCACCCTTTCCTTCCCCTAATACAGTATTAGGATAGCTACCACTCACAAAAGCCAATGAAATGAGACTGCAGGGTTCTGCACAAAAAAGGTCCACTGTAACTCAATGCATTTAAGGTGTCATTTCCTGGTAGCATTCCTAGCTCCCTCCCGTTACTACAGATGAACTCCCTGTGCTCCTGTCTAAAACCAACTCCTGCTCTTGTTCTCTGATCTCTCATTCCCTCTTGCAGCTGCTTAGTGGACAGCTCCCCCTCCCTGCAATCATTTCCTCTCTAGGAAATTGCTCCCACTTAAACTGAATTTTCAAAATAAACACCTACACCTCCTCTAGCTACTACCCCACTTCTCTGCTCCCACTCACAAGGCTCCTCCAAAAAGCAGTGTATCTATATACACTCCCTCCAATTCCTCTTTGCCCACTCCCTCCACTCCACTAAAATGGTTTGTCAAGATCACCAATCGCCTGATACTAAATCCATTTTTAACGTCAATTTGCCGTCTTTACCTCTAATACTTGACCTACTTACATCATTTTGGCAACTGATCACTCCTCCTCCCTAAATCCTTCATTTGGCTTCTGGACACACGTTCCCTTGGTTTTTCCTCCCACCTCAGTAGCAACTCCCTACTAACCAATCTTGAAAAGTCTGTGTTATGGAAAATTTCAAATGCATATAGAAGCAGAGACTGTATCACGAACCCTCCTGTGGCCATCACCCAGTTTAAATAATTATCCATTCTGTACACTCCAGTGTCCTTTGCTGGTTGCTCTGAATCTTTCCAAACTTATAACCAGAATTTTCTAGTACTCAGTCCTTAAAACCACTTTCCTGCTTTCGATACATTCATTCTCTTGAGGAATGGACCAGTCTAATAGCTTTAAATACTACATTTAGGCTGACGACACCTAAATTTGTAACGACAGCTCCAACTTCTCTCCTCAACTACAGAATCAACGAGCCAACTGAATTATCAAAAGACATCTCAAATATCCCAAATTGAAACATACTTCTTCCCTCCCAAAAGCCTTTCCCACCTCAATTAAGAAAAACTCATTTCTCCCTACAAAAACCTTGAATTATCCACAATCCCCTTTCCTCTCACACCCTGTGTCCAACCCACAAATTCTGCTGACCCTACCTTCAAAATATGCATTTTTTATCGACCACTTCTCACCACCTTCACTTCTATCTCCTGGTCTAAGCCACTATCCCCTCCCATCTCCCTGAAGTACCACCAAGAGAGGTAAAATAAATGGTTTCGGTAACTATTAATAAGAACAATTAAAATTACTAAATAAGTTTTCAAAAGTTAAGATTTTCTGGCCATCTAACCATTTTTTAAAAAAGATTTTATTTTTAGAGAGAGGGGAAGGGAGCGGGGGAGAAAAAGAGGGAGAGAAACATTAGTTGCCTGTCATGCAGCCCCTAATGGGGACCTGGCCTGCAACCCAGGCACGCGTCCTGACTGGGAATCAAACCAGTGACCCTTTGGTTAGCAGGCTGGCGCTCAATCCACTTAGCCATACCAGCCAGGGTCATTTAACCATTTTTATGCGAATGAGTTTTTAAAAGAATTCGGCATTTTAGAAAAACTGCTGGTATAGGAACACATGAAGAACTGTGCTAATTACTTGAGTAAGAATGTCAATATGCCCTGGCTGGTGTAGCTCAGTGGACTGAGTGCAGGCTACGAACCAAAGGATCACTGGTTCGATTCCCAGTCAGGGCATGTGCCTGGGTTGCAAGCCAGGTCCCCAGTGGGAGCCACATGAGAGGTAACCATACATTAATGTTTCTCTCCCTCTCTTTTTCCCTCCCCTCCCCTCGCTAAAAATAAAATCTTAAAAAAAAAAAGAATGTCGATATGGAAAAGTATACTAGGACAGAAAACGACTGGAGTTGACCCATCATGGTAAAAAGACCTCAAGTGTTTACTACTACACACTCCTGCCTAAAAGCTCTCTGACTCTTGACCTTTCCTGGCTCTTTATGAGCCCTTTCTATCTTAAGAGTTATTCCACGTCACCATACCCTGCTCCCCACTAAGCTTTTCTGGCTTAAATCTAAGAGTTGTGATAACCTATTTTAAATAACTTGCGTAATACTTTCGTCTAGGCAAAAATGGTTAAACTTTCTATCAACTACCATTATATGCAGTTACCTATTTTTTTTTTGTTTCCATGTTAGTAGCTTTTTCTAAGAAATGTTTTCTAGTGCTACAATATACCTTGGTGCTGCTTTGATAATGTTGTCCACACGGAGAATCACCTCTGCTGCTTCAGCCGCACTCAGAAGAACCTGTCGCTTTACTTGGAAACTTTCTGTTATACCCAGTGTTGCCATATCGCCAATAGTACCTTCCTTCATATCTGAAAAGAAAAAGTACTTACTAAATTAACTACAGTTTTAGCAAGTATCGAAATATCACTAATGACTTAAACAAATAAAATTAATCCTGCTATGAAAAATAAAATTACAACATTACTCAACTCTATCACTCAAGAAAAATCTTCAAAAAATCAAAACACCAACTACTGATTATTTGTATTAATGGAGAACTATGTCAAATAATGAAAAACTTAAAACAAAACACTAGATCACCTATCTTAATCTACTTACATAATCTATTTAATCTACTTACTTTGTAGAAATTTTGTAAAATTACTACAAAAAATATGCTCATCACTAAGTACCACGAAATCTTCACTGGATAAGAGAATTTAAACGTCACCTATTTTCCTTCTTGTGAGAATCCTACTTTATCTTCATACAAATTGTTAGTCATCAACTCTCTCTTGTCCAGTGACAGGATTATCTACCCTCTAAGATGATTCCTATAATGTCCTGGACTGTTAGTTGGGATATTTTTCAATTTGAACTAAATCGCCCTTTTTGGCTACACTTTTGTCTATGTATCAGCAATCTACATTCAAGAAGGTCTCAGAAATAGTTCACCATGAGACTGGGAGTTAATGTGGCTTATATTATAAGAGATATAGTAAAGTTTACATTTATTTTGGAATATAACTATTGCTTATGTACTTTAATTCTATAACCATAATATAACAAACTAGTTAAAAATCTTCAAACTAGAGTTATACCCTTTGTGGAATAACAAAGTTTGGCAGTGCTGAGAATATGAAAATATTTTCCTAGAATATATAATGCTTACAAAAGAGCCAAAGGCATCTTTTATATGGTTATCATGAGCATTCACTAACAAAAAAAGGTAAAGAACTTGGTGAAGAGTTACCCTTAACAATTACAAGGCCCCAGTTGATTCCTTACCCAGTCCAGCAGTTGTATTGCCTTCGCTATGGGCAGCTCGGAGCTGTGCCACCAGATCTGCACTGTCATAGCCTGCATTGTCAGCTATTATAGTTGGCAACTATGAAGTTAAGAAGACAAATGGTTACTATCTATTCTAGTAAAATTCACTGATGCCTAACTAGGACAGCTTTTAAAAATTACATATTTGGAAACATTGTAAAATCTGCTTCTTTTTAATTACAGCTCATAAAGAAGATAAACTCCAGAATCAAATTTAAAGGTGCTGTGATCCTGCTTTTTTTCTTAAGACCAAGAAAAGAAACATTTTCTTCCCAAGTTAGAAAAATATATCCACTTAAAAACCACCAACACCAACAAAATTTAAGTTCACATCTCTTATTTTTAACTTACCATTCTCAGTGCTTTAGCGTAAGACTCCATTGCAACAGCTTCTTTACCTGGTGTTTTACTGGCAAGCTGCGTCACAGCGTGAGCCATCAGCATCTCAGAGCAGCCTGTGGATTAAAAATACAGTAAAATACCAGTATGCTCAGCTCTCTCAGCTCTCTCAAACACACTGACTCCCCTCAGATATGTCAAGCATTTTAAAATTAAGTGCAGAAGCAATATAGTTTCTAAGAACCATTAAAACCACTTACAATGTATACTATATTTTAAGAAAATAAATAAAATGTTTTACCTCCTCCATAAACTGTTCTAGAATCTTTCACAGTTTGGGCAAGAACACAAAGAGCATCATGCAAAGATCTTTCTGCTTCATCTAAAATTTGTTGAGTGGCACCACGAAGAACAATAGTACAAGCTTCACCTAATGTTAAAAAAAAGTAATATTCTTATGTCACAGTGAGCATTTAATTATAAAACAAAAATTTGTCTTTCATTTATATAGGTGTTAGTTATATTACTTTGTTTTGAAAGCTGACATGTCTCCTACTGTTATACATTCTCTTTGCTGACAACTCATATTCATAAGTCTAAGCTATCTAAAAAACAACTATGTTGAAAATGCACTGTTCACAGAGGTAAGATTAACATTAGGGTGATCTCAAAACAGATCAAAATTAACATTTATGCTCCACAAGAATGAAGACACATCAATTCTAATAACTATGTAAATGTTTCTTTCACTTCAACAGAGCCTAACAAGGATTTAGGATGCTAAACCAAGATCTACATAATCACTCACCAAGGGCTACCCCGGAAAAGTGAATAAGCTTGTCCTCTCCAATCATGACTTCCTCAATTAGCTTGCAACTTCCAAGTTTCACTAGTTCTGGGTGGTCAAAAGTAGAGGCAATTTCACCACCTATGAACATAAATATAATTAAATACATAACAGGTTTAAAATTTGCTTTTGAACAAGCAGTAATTAACATATAAAATTTTTTAAGTTGATTGATTATATGCAAAGCACTCTCTGAAGCACCTCTTATGAAATTAATTACTCTTACAACAATCTTAATGAGATATGGTCCATTATTATCCCATTTAGAAATGATAAAATAGAGGCAGAGATGTTTAGTTTCTTATCCATGGTTACACAGCCTGAACAAATAAAGTGAAGATGGGATTCAAATCCAAGCAGCCTGGCTTCTTCAGACCTGTGCAGACACTGTTTACTATCCCTAAAGGTTAAATGGAAACTTTATTTTTTTTTAAATATATTTTATCAATTATGCTATTCCAGTTGCCCCATTTTCCCCTTCACTCCCCTCTGCACCCCCTCCCACCCACTTTCCCCCCTTTTAGTTCATGTCCATGGGTTGTACATGTAAGCTGTCTTCTACATTTCCTATACTATTCTTACCCTCCCCCTGTCTCTTTTCTACCTACCATTCATGCTACTTATTCTCTGTACCTTTTCCCCCTCACTCCCCCTCCCACTCCCCTGCTGATAACCTACCATGTGACCTCCATTTCTGTAATTCTGTTCTTGTTCTAGTTGTTTGCTTAGTTTGCTTTTGTTTTAGGTGTGGGTGTTAATAACTGTGAATTTGCTGTCATTTTACTGTTCCTATTTTTTTATCTCCTTTTTCTTAGATAAATTCCTTTAATATTTCATATAATTCCTTTAATATTTCATATAAATATTTTAATATTTCAAGTGAAAGGATGAACTCCTTTCACTTGACCTTATCTGAGAAGCAATTTATCTGCCTTTCCATTCTAAATGAAAGCTTTGCTGGATACAGTAATCCTGAATGTAGGTCCTTGCCTTTCGTAAGTTGGAATACATCTTTCCAGCCCCTTCTTGCCTGCAAGGTCTCTTTTGAGAAATCAGCTGACAGTCTGATGGGAACTCCTTTGTAGGTAACTCTCCTTTTCTCTTGCTGCTTCTAGGATGCTCTCCTTCATTTTAATCTTGGGTAATGTAATTATGATGTGCCTTGGTGTGTTCCTCCTTGAGTCCAACTTCTTTGGGACTCTCTGAGCTTCCTGGACTTCCTGGAAGTCTATTTCCTTTGCCAGATTGGGGAAGTTCTGCTTTATTATTTGTTCAGCTAACATTTCCACTTGTTGCTCTTCCTCTTCTGGTACCCCAATAATTCAGATGCTGGAACGTTTAAAGATGTTCTGAAGGTTCCTAAAGCCTCTCATTTTTTTGAATTCTTATTTCTTCAGTTTTCTGGTTGGATGTTTCTTCTTCCTTCCGGTCCACACTGTTGATTTGAGTCCCAGTTTCCTTCCCATCACTATTGATTCCCTGTACATTTTCCTTTATTTCACTTAGGATAGCCTTCATTTTTCATCTAATTTGTGACCAAATTCAACCAATTCTGTAAGCATCCTGATTACCAGTGTTTTGAACTGCACATTTGATAGGTTGGCTATCTCTTCATTGCTTAGTTGTATTTTTTCTGAAGCTTTGATCTTTCATTTCTGTCATTTTTTTTTTTTGTCTTGATGCAGCTGTTAAAGGAACCACATCACTGTGCTGTGATGCTATATGTGGGGGAGGGGTCCGAGAGGGAACAACGGCCCTTGCTCCACTCTCTGCTGGATTTCAGTCACTTCCCACAAGCAAATGGGGCCCTTCTGGTGATGATTCCAAGGTGGGTGGTTTGTGTACATTCTAGGACCCTGTGGGTCTCTCCAACAAATTCTGCTGTGAGGCTGGTAGTTTCTCCCATTGCCTCAACCCCTACAAGTGTTTTCAATCAGTGGTTTATTTCCCTGTACTGGGCCTGGATTGCATAGTCAGCCCAGCTCCCCAGTTGTTTCTCCCAGTTTATCTGTACATGAATGTGGGACTGCCTGGTCCACAATCCGCTGCCTTGCCAGTCTGCCAGCTGCTGCCTTGCTGGCCAGTTGCAGCTTTGCCAGGAGTCCTCTTTGCCCGGCTGCCTGTCTCTGCCCCTCCTACTGGTCTGGATGAATGTGTCTTCTTTAACTCCTTGGTTGCCAGACTTCCATACAGTTAGATTTTCTGTCAGTTCTGGTTGCTTTTTGTTTTTAAATTGTTGTTGTCCTTCTTTTGGTTGTGTGAGGAGGCACAGTGTGTCTACTTACACCTCCATCTTGGCCAGAAGTCCCTTAAATGGAAACTTTACCATTTACCTTTAAGCCTACATTTAAATACAGATTCTCTTCTGAATCCAATCTAGAAGATCAGTACTCTTATGATCCAATTTCCCAACCAAAAATGAAAATACTTCACTATTATATCAACAGATGTATGAACTTTTGAAACAGCTTAATGGGCACTTGGTATCTGCTAATTATCACAATAACTGAAATGTCATAAAGACCTAGACCCTTATAAGACCTAGAAAACGGGAAATATATACTGAGAATTTCCCAGAGCAAACTTAGTTGAAGTGTCAAAAAAGTAAATTCATTTTATTCCTTATGTCATATCTCTATTCCTATTTTCCCCTCCCTCTTCCATGCTGTAAACTGAAAGGGTTAGCCATTTCCCTTCCTGGATCCTAATTAGGCAAGTTAGATTTCCATTTTAAAATCCTTTTCTCTAGCTCATCAACCTCTTTCAATAAGTTAGAATACCTCTCTCCATCTCATCGATGTATCTGCTGAATAACTGATGCTTTATACATACATCTACTTTATAATTTATACAAAGAACTCTGGTCTTCCCAACTCTACTAACTTAAACTGATAATCTATATGGCTGAAATCCTTTTTTGGTTGGCAAATTCCTGAGACTTTGTTTTCGAGATAAAAAGACCCTACTGGTGTTTGGGACATCATATCCAAAAATGACACTAATTTAGCCTTTGAGAATTTTCACTTATCCTACACTCAATCATCTATATCTGCTTACAAGGTTATTTCTTGATATCTGCAAAAACCCATTTCACATATTATGACTACATATAAGCTAATAGAATGGGGGCCACCATGGTGTCAACCTCAATTGGTACACTTGGTGCAGTAAATTTTCTTCTGAGTATATGTGGCAATTTCATGTATCACTAACTTATCCCATGAATGTGCTATCATTCACATTTCTTATGTCTTTAATTTTGTTGCATTAAAGGAGTTACATAAACATGAGCATCTTAAGTTTTATCACTTTAGGCTTTAGGCATCAAGTGTGCAATGGCTTTTAAAGAACTTTAACTAGAGCAGGCAAACCCATTTCAAATTAATTAATAAAATGAAAATGTGTCTTTTTAGGTCAGAAGATTATGCTTCTCAGATTATTAAAAATGGCCTAGGAATTCTGAGATGAGGCCAATTCTACTCTCTACATTAATTAGTATCCTTTAATTTCTTCAAACACTCAGGGCAATTTCAACTGAAGTCACCATACCCAGTGGCTTTCCACCCCAAACCCCATTCTCCTTCATTCTCATTGCCAGGTCCCCAACCAACTTTCCAACCTATTCCTTTATTTTCCAGGACCTAAAAATTAAGAGAATAAAAGTTTTTAATGCTTAGTTCTTCCAGGGCTACTTAGAGGTTACTTCAAAAACCATTACCACAAATAGAAAGTTAACAAGCTGCACTCTGCATCACTTTGATTTAAACATACCTTACTTATAAACATCATTTCTATTGCACATAACTGGAATTACATCACTCCTTACATACATCCCTCTTCTGAAGGGTGGATGCTGGAGAATACTAACTTTTCATCATACATTGCCAAACTGTTTCACACTTATTTTAATATTTACTACTTTCAGAAATTTTCAAAACTTAACAAAAGCAATGTTGAAGTACTTGACCCACTCTCTGTCATATGGTTAAGCATTCAGTAAAGATTACTATCATAACTGTATTACTATACAGGGCACAAAGCATTAAACTACTCACTTAGCATTAGAAATAAGTAAATGAAAAACATTTCATTTACTAGATAAAGACATAAAACTTTTTTCAAGCTCTAGTTTAT